TAACGTACGTAGTTAAGTTAAGTTAGTAAAGTAACGTAACGTTTAAGTTTAGTTACGTACTAGTATACTACTACTACTACTAACTTTAATTTACTTATATATATATATATATATATATATATATATATATATATATATACACACACACCTTCTGAAGATCAAAAGAAGTAAATTTTATTCCGAGTTTGTTATCTTAGGTACGTAACCTAGGTTAATTAGGTAAGTTAAGAGTATACAAAAGAATTCTCCAGGTTTAAATAACTTTTTTTTTTTAATTATTCAGGAAGCTCTTGGGTACGTTTCAGTAACCGTTAATAGGCCTAGGTGATTCCTAGTGTAATTCTTAAACTGTATGACATGTACGCAGCATTAATAACTGACATAGACATGTAGCCCCCAGCGACACTGCGATACGCCTGTGGAGTTATAACGCTAGAAACCGTATTTTGATACCCGTGGTGGGCACAGCACAGATAGCCCATTGTGTAGCATTGTGATTAACTACAAACAGGCAGACATGTAACACTAGACTCGAAATGTTGAAATCTCAAGTGCTTTTACAGCATTTAAGATTTTTTTCTTTTTAGAAATATGCGAAATATAAAGTACACATATTAAATAAACGGGGGTAAATTAATGTTTACAATATACAATACTTACCAATATACATAGTACTTGTATCAAACCAGACTGGATGGATATTGCGGCATCTTAATTCCAAGATATTTACTGCGAAATAATTCTGTCTATGAGTAACCAAGTACGCGAGAAAAAGAGACTGAACGCAAGTGTATAACCACGTAAACAATCATCATTCAAACAAACACAGTAAAAAATGTTCTTTGCTTGCCACAATGGAGAGTTAGATTTTAACTCATTATAATTTATTCATAGGAGATCATAAGTAAGATTAGTTCTGCTAATATTCTGTTCCAGACTGAATAAATCACACGATACTTACTTAAAGTTACACTTATCCAGAACGACTAGTTCTACCCACGTGACTGGTCATTCCCATTGAAACCTAAGAGAGATCATTACTTAAAGAAATCACCTAACTGCCATTAAAAATATCTAACTACACATACTACAGGTGATCTTACAGCTATCTATACCACGAAAGAAAGAAAAAGGTACTACAAACATTGACACAGAACAATAGGTACCTAAAGCAAGAGTAGCTTAATGATTTTCTTGACCAATGCGTTACGCGGAAACTGCTCATGTCTGTACAAATATATTTTGAAAAATTCCTTTATTGATAGAAGGAAGTAGAAAACCCATGGTATGCTTAAATACCACTTCTATAAATTAATATTAGTTTCCGATAAGAACAAGCTACCTATTTATACCAAAAATAAAATTCGAAATCAACGCAGTAATGAATATAGTTAATTAAACATATTGTTCTTAGAAATATTAGAATACATTGCTTTCCTTTAAAAGATACTGTCTGGTTTTGTACGTGGGGGTTAAATATGTTCTCCACGCAAGACACTGATTGATCAGGCTCGTTAACCCTATCTGCACAGTGGTATTTTATCTTTGATGTCAGAGTTATCAAACATTCATTTTACCCTACATTGCAGATTTAGCAACAGTTCGTAGCAGAGTAAATACTGGATACAATATATACGGATACTGGAAAAATTGTGGATATGCACTTCAGAGGTTAAGGAAATGCAATATACAAAATGTGCTATGTACAAAAAAAAAAGATTTCGATTCTTCATATGAACATTCTGTTCTCTGACGTTAGCAATTTAAAGACATATCTTGAGTACAAATATTTTTCTAACACATTTGATTTTTTGTGTGTAAAACAGACTTGTAGATATTAGTAAAAACTTGCCATATTTAGTGTAGGTACACATAGTAAAGTCGGAATTCTATTCAACATTCTTTCTTCAATGGGCCGACCTCATGTAAATTCTGTTTTCGGCCGTAAACCTAATAATATCTCAAGAGTCTCGGCCAGCTTAGAAGATTAAGGTTACTCCTAAATCCATATACTAAAACAAAAGTAACCATTCTAACTAATACTTTTAATAACATTAAAGAAAGAGTAGAGTGTACCTCCCTTACGGGTGACATAAACTCTAATTGTTAACTTCAAGTATGCTTGTAGATTTATTCTTCCAATAGCCACATATGAGACAGTAAACCATCTTTTTCCATTTTCTTCTCATTATGAAATTTTTAGTACCGATTAAGACCCTTATATGTACCCATGTTTGCCAAATTAAGATTCGTTGGAGTTTTCTTCTAGTCGTCTAATGTATATAAAGATGTGTATCTATACAGAGGTTGAATAAGTTACATTCAAACAATTTTGTAGCCTCACAACATGGTTAAAGTCAGTGTTGCTACATTTGGCCATATTCTATATGACGACCGTGCATCTAGATAATAGCCCTGTTGCCTAGTTTCCACTAAAAAAGACTGTAGTTAAACTATCATGTCATGCTCAACGGAAACCACTCCTTCTTGATGCTTTCCATAAACCATCTCATGTATGAGAATGATGATTTCTCAGTGTTAGTTTCAACACTTTGGTTGCACAGGTATCCATAGGTTCTGCATTCAGCAAAATAATCATTGTGTTTTCAAATGAAAAAGGATGAATAACCGCTTCATCCTTCAGCTGCTTGAGGTATGCAGCAGTTGAACAGATATACCATTAAAGCAACTTGTGTACACATGACTTGTTTCTCTTTTCTAGACAGAGAACCTTTTGATTATGTTTCATACAGTTGTCTCGAACGTGTATGTGGTATTTTCAGTTAAAACTGAGTTCCGAAAGAATATGCCTCCCAGTGGCACAGCGGTATATCTGCGGACTTACAACGCTATAATTCGGGTTTCGATACCCGTAGTGGGCAGAGCACAAATAGCTCATTGTGTAGCTTTGTGCTTAATTACAAGTCCGCTATATAACGGGAGGTTCTACAAGATATATGCAAAATAATTTTCAATATCCTTGTGTAAACTGGAGCAAATAAATAAAATAAACGCAAGGTGTAATGCATAATGCAACAATCTTTATTCTTGCAACAAAAAGCAACAGCGTATGTAATCTTCCTTTTTGGGCGATGGACAATCACCTTTATTGGAGAATTGAATTGATCAGGCTAGTTATCTTCCCACAAAACTTATTTACAAATTACTGACTCACCCGAAGGATGAGTAGTTTCCTGAACGTCACTACAGCTGTAGAAGAAGAAAACAAAACCTTAACTGCAGGAAATCCAATCTTAAAAACAGGAGAAAAAATTAACTAGAGAAACACAAACATTTTGGGGACTATAAAGGCTAATGTATTTAATTTTTATATTTCGATATTTAAAAAATAAAAACAGATGAACCCTAATCTCGCTTTTTTCTTTTTTCCTATTTTTAGCAGAAACAAAATTGAATAGAATTGAAAGTTTTTAGGTTTCTCTCATTTTACTTAGTTACCATACAATATAATTTCATATGTTATTTTGTTATTAACTTATTCAGATTTAGTTTTCACTTTTTATAGTAACTGATAACACTACACAATCTTTATGTACTTAAGGTAACTAATCTATTGAATTTTGAGCTTAAAATATTGTGTTAGTTGGTCATACTTTATCATTTTTACTCTAAGCAACTACCATATTTGGGTTAGAACACGTTTATTTGTTTATTGTTAAGCGCAAAGCTACACAATGGGCTATTTGTGCTGTGCCCACCAAAGATTACATTTAGTCATATACTTGGATATTGATTAACTCATCTAGCAAAATTATTGCAAACAAATAGCGACATCACATTAAATTTTTTAAACATTTTTTTAGATGATATACAACAATAGTTCATTATAAAAGCATGCCACACCTTTTTATTTTCATAAAGTAGTTGAACCAAACTTGTCACAAGATTACAGAACAGTGGTGTAGGAAGGAGCTGCAAAGTGGACTGCTAGGCTAGACATGCAGATTTAACAATGAGAGATTAAAAGTAAAAGGAGCTGCTTTTAGCAGCTCCCGTGCTGCCAGAGGCAGCTCAATCTAGGGAGAGGGGTCTGGGGGTGTGCCCCCAGAAAATTAATATAGTAATATAATTTACAGTTGCTATATAAGTCAAATATGTAAAAGTGGGGATGCTACAACATCCCCTGTTCCAACACCTGTGCAGAGGGTACATGTTCTTACAGCCATTCACGATAATATATTGTTTCTTTTCAGTTTATAAAAAGTAAAGTTAATATCTCTAACTAAATTTTCTTAATAGTGCAGCCAGTATCGGATTTAGCTATTTTGAGGCCCTAGGCGTAACTATATACATATTGTTACGACAGCGGAAGTCACGCGACACTGGGAGCATGCGCGCTGGAGTTTTTAGAAGGATCGTGACTTAGCGGGCAACCTCATGAATGTCCCAGCGTTTGCTAGACGCCCTCTTTTTTAGTATATAAGCCAGAGATAGATTGAAGAGAAATAACTGAGTCAAGCGAACAGTAGGCACCGTAAGTAAAGTGTGTGAATCACTGTGAATTATAGCGTGTGTTTATAAAAGTAGTTAAGTTAAAGTGATTGTGGAAATTCTGTGTATTGCAAAGTTGTATCGAAAAATAATAAACTAGTTTTAATTAAGAAAGAACTTGTATCGCTGAAGTTTCTCGGAAAGAATTTCTACGGGAAATTAACAAACAAGCAGATACATAACAATATATATAGACACACAGTCGAAATTAAAATATAACTTCACAAAAACTTGCTTTTATTTTCTATTCTCTATTTTTTAAATGCCTTAAGAACACTTCAACAGAACTATAGAAGAGGATTGAACAACACTTTTACTGAACCTGAAAAGTTTTCAATAAAAAGGATAATTAACAAAATTATTAGCATTAAATGTCTTGTCTGACTGTTCCGTTTTTGTGGAACGAAATAATAACAAATAAATATGAAGGTGTAATAGTTATAATAAGTATAAACAGGATGTCGTTTGTCATGTTTGCACAATCACTATCTATCATGATTTACCGAAAGGATTCAGTCTAATATATAAATATATTGAAGAATGTAAATACAAATATTTACAAAGTTTTTAAGCCACGTTTCTGTAAAAGTCTAATGTAAAATTTACCTCTGAAGAAGAGAAGTCCACCTTTCGAAAACGCTCAAATTTATGGCTTTATTGTTTTTAATGTAAAGTCTAATATTTTCATTTCTACTCTTCTATAATTTAAATTCAAAGTTAAGTAATTGTTGTGGTATTGAAATTAGCTAACGGATTTTTTTTTATTTTACTTTATCTCCTTATTTATTCTACTAGAATGGTGCCTGGGATGGAGGGGTTGTCATATGAGGAGAGGTTCAAATCTCTAAAATGGTTTTCTCTTGAAAAAAGAAGAGTTAGGGGAGATCTGATTGAGGTGTTTAAGATTGTAAAGGGAGTTGATAGTGTTGATGCATAATCTTTTTTCATACTTAACAGTGAAAATAGTAGGACTAGGGGACGCAAATATAATTTTTGGCAGAGTATGAATCATCTTCAGCTAAGACAGTTTTATTTTTATAACAGGGTGGTTGGCCTTTGGGATGGGTTGCCTCCAGATGTTGTGTAAGCAGTAAATTTAAGTGAGTTTAAGAGAAAGCTTGATGAGTATATTGTTG